GCAGAGTGATGGACGACCCCCGGTGAGCAGAGTGATGGACGACCCCCGGTGAGCAGAGTGATGGACGACCCCGGTGAGCAGAGTGATGGACGACCCCAGGTGAGCAGTGATGGACGACCCCCCGGTGAGCAGAGTGATGGACGACCCCCCGGTGAGCAGAGTGATGGGACGACCCCCGGTGTAGCAGAGTGATGGACGACCCCCGGTGAGCAGAGTGATGGATGACCCCCCGGTGAGCAGAGTGATGGACGACCCCCCGGTGAGCAGAGTGATGGACGACCCCGGTGAGCAGAGTGATGGGCGACCCCCGGTGAGCAGAGTGATGGACTACCCCGGTGAGCAGAGTGATGGACGACCCCCGGTAGAGCAGAGTAATGGACGACCCCCGGTGAGCAGAGTGATGGACGACCCCCGGTGAGCAGAGTGATGGACGACCCCAGGTGAGCAGTGATGGACGACCCCCGGTGAGCAGAGTGATGGACGACCCCCCGGTGAGCAGAGTGATGGACGAACCCCCGGTGAGCAGAGTGATGGACGACCCCCGGTGAGCAGAGTGATGGACGATCCCCGGTGAGCAGAGTGATGGACGACCCCCGGTGAGCAGAGTGATGGACGACCCCCGGTGAGCAGAGTGATGGACGACCCCCCGGTGAGCAGAGTGATGGACGACCCCCGGTGAGCAGAGTGATGGACGACCCCCGGTGAGCAGAGTGATGGACGACCCCCCTGGGTGAGCAGAGTGATGGACGATCCCCGGTGAGCAGAGTGATGGACGACCCCGGTGAGCAGAGTGATGGACGACCCCAGGTGAGCAGAGTGATGGACGACCCCCCGGTGAGCAGAGTGATGGACGACCCCCGGTGAGCAGAGTGATGGACGACTCCCCCGGTGAGCAGAGTGATGGACGACCTCCTGGGTGAGCAGAGTGATGGACGACCCCCCGGTGAGCAGAGTGATGGACGACCCTCCGGTGAGCAGAGTGATGGACGACCCTCCGGTGAGCAGATTGATGGACGACCCCCCGGTGAGCAGAGTGATGGACGACCCCCCCGGTGAGCAGAGTGATGGACGACCCCCGGTGAGCAGTGATGGACGACCCTCCGGTGTGCAGAGTGATGGACGACCCCCCAGTGAGCAGAGTGATGGACGACCCCCCGGTGAGCAGAGTGATGGACGACCTCCTGGGTGAGCAGAGTGATGGACGACCCCCGGTGAGCAGAGTGATGGACGACCCCCCTGGGTGAGCAGAGTGATGGACGACCCCCGCTGAGCAGAGTGATGGACGACCCCCGGTGAGCAGAGTGATGGACGACCCCCAGGTGAGAAGTGATGGACGACCCCCCGGTGAGCAGAGTGATGGACGACCCCCGGTGAGCAGAGTGATGGACGACCCCCCGGTGAGCAGAGTGATGGACGACCCCCCGGTGAGCAGAGTGATGGACGACCCCCCGGTGAGCAGAGTGATGGACGACCCCCCGGTGAGCAGAGTGATGGACGACCCCCGGTGAGCAGAGTGATGGGCGACCCCCCGGTGAGCAGAGTGATGGACGACCCCCGGTGAGCAGAGTGATGGACGACCCCCCGGTGAGCAGAGTGATGGACGACCCCCCTGGGTGAGCAGAGTGATGGACGACCCCCCGGTGAGCAGAGTGATGGACGACCCCCGGTGAGCAGAGTGATGGACGACCCCCCGGTGAGCAAAGTGATGGACGACCCCCGGTGAGCAGAGTGATGGACGACCGTCCGGTGAGCAGAGTGATGGACGACCCCCCGGTGAGCAGAGTGATGGACGACCCCCGATGAGCAGAGTGATGGACGACCCCCAGGTGAGCAGTGATGGACGACCCCCCGGTCGTGTGAGACAGGAGTGATGGACGACCCCCGGTGAGCAGAGTGATGGACGACACCCCGGTGAGCAGAGTGATGGACGACCCCCGGTGAGCAGAGTGATGGACGACCCCCCGGTGAGCAGAGTGATGGACTACCCCCGGTGAGCAGTGATGGGCGACCCCCCGGTGAGCAGAGTGATGGACGACCCCCCTGGGTGAGCAGAGTGATGGACGAACCCCGGTGAGCAGTGATGGACGACCCCCCTGGGTGAGCAGTGATGGACGACCCCCCGGTGAGCAGAGTGATGGACGACCCCCGGTGAGCAGAGTGATGGACGACCCCCAGGTGAGCAGAGTGATGGACGACCCCCCGGTGAGCAGAGTGATGGACGACCCCCCGGTGAGCAGAGTGATGGACGACTCCCCCGGTGAGCAGAGTGATGGACGACCTCCTGGGTGAGCAGAGTGATGGACGACCCCCCGGTGAGCAGAGTGATGGACGACCCTCCGGTGAGCAGAGTGATGGACGACCCTCCGGTGAGCAGAGTGATGGACGACCCCCCGGTGAGCAGAGTGATGGACGACCCCCCGGTGAGCAGAGTGATGGACGACCCCGGTGAGCAGAGTGATGGACGACCCCCGTGAGCAGAGTGATGGACGACCCCCCGGTGAGCAGAGTGATGGACGACCCCCCGGTGAGTAGAGTGATGGACGACCCCCCGGTGAGCAGTGATGGACGATCCCCGGTGAGCAGAGTGATGGACGACCCCCAAGTGAGCAGAGTGATGGACGACCCCCGGTGAGCAGAGTGATGGACGACCTCTGGGTGAGCAGAGTGATGGACGACCCCGGTGAGCAGAGTGATGGACGACCCCCCGGTGAGCAGAGTGATGGGCGACCCCCCGGTGAGCAGAGTGATGGACGACCCCGGTGAGCAGAGTGATGGACGACCCCCGGTGAGCAGAGTGATGGACGACCCCAGGTGAGCAGTGATGGACGACCCCCGGTGAGCAGAGTGATGGACGACCCCCAGGTGAGCAGAGTGATGGACGAGCCCCAGGTGAGCAGTGATGGACGACCCCCGGTGAGCAGAGTGATGGACGACCCCCCGGTGAGCAGAGTGATGGACGACCCCCCGGTGAGCAGAGTGATGGACGACCCCCCCGGTGAGCAGAGTGATGGACGACCCCCGGTGAGCAGAGTGATGGACGACCCCCCGGTGAGCAGAGTGATGGACGACCCCCGGTGAGCAGAGTGATGGGCGACCCCCCGGTGAGCAGAGTGATGGACGACCCCCCGGTGAGCAGGTGATGGACGACCCCCCGGTGAGCAGGGTGATGGACGACCCCCGGTGAGCAGAGTGATGGACGACCCCCCGGTGAGCAGAGTGATGGACGACCCCCGGTGAGCAGAGTGATGGACGACCCCCTGGGTGAGCAGAGTGATGGACGACCCCCCTGGGTGAGCAGAGTGATGGACGACCCCCCTGGGTGAGCAGAGTGATGGACGACCCCCCTGGATGAGCAGAGTGATGGACGACCTCCTGGGTGAGCAGAGTGATGGACGACCCCCCTGGGTGAGCAGAGTGATGGACGACCTCCTGGGTGAGCAGAGTGATGGACGACCCCCCTGGGTGAGCAGAGTGATGGACGACCTCCTTGGTGAGCAGAGTGATGGACGACCCCCCGGGTGAGCAGAGTGATGGACGACCTCCTGGGTGAGCAGAGTGATGGACGACCCCCCTGGGGGAACAGAGTGATGGACGACCTCCTGGGTGAGCAGAGTGATGGACGACCCCCCTGGGTGAGCAGAGTGATGGACGACCTCCTGGGTGAGCAGAGTGATGGACGACCCCCCTGGGTGAGCAGAGTGATGGACGACCTCCTGGATGAGCAGAGTGATGGACGACCCCCCTGGGTGAGCAGAGTGATGGACGACCTCCTGGGTGAGCAGAGTGATGGACGACCCCCCTGGGTGAGCATAGTGATGGACGACCTCCCGGTGAGCAGAGTGATGGACGACCTCCCGGTGAGCAGAGTGATGGACGACCTCCTGGGTGAGCAGAGTGATGGACGACCCCCCTGGGTGAGCAGAGTGATGGACGACCTCCTGGGTGAGCAGAGTGATGGACGACCCCCCTGGGTGAGCAGAGTGATGGACGACCTCCCGATGAGCAGAGTGATGGACGACCCCCTTGGGTGAGCAGAGTGATGGACGACCTCCTGGGTGAGCAGATTGATGGACGACCCCCCTGGGTGAGCAGAGTGATTTACGACCTCCTGGGTGAGCAGAGTGATGGACGACCTCCTGGGTGAGCAGAGTGATGGACGACCCCCCTGGGTGAGCAGAGTGATGGACGACCTCCTGGGTGAGCAGAGTGATGGACGACCCCCTGGGTGAGCAGAGTGATGGACGACCTCCTGGGTGAGCAGAGTGATGGACGACCCCCCTGGGTGAGCAGAGTGATGGACGACCTCCTGGGTGAGCAGAGTGATGGACGACCCCCCTGGGTGAGCAGAGTGATGGACGACCTCCTGGGTGAGCAGAGTGATGGACGACCTCCCGGTGAGCAGAGTGATGGACGACCCCCCGGTGAGCAGAGTGATGGACGACCTCCCGGTGAGCAGAGTGATGGACGACCTCCCGGTGAGCAGAGTGATGGACGACCTCCCGGTGAGCAGAGTGATGGACGACCCCCCGGTGAGCAGAGTGATGGACGACCTCCCGGTGAGCAGAGTGATGGACGACCTCCCGGTGAGCATGTGTGTTAAAATCGCGAAACGTTGCTATAATAAAAACGTTGCTACAATAAAATACTAAATTAGTTGCATCTGTGTCTTTTTTATTTTACAATTGATCATTGATTCTACCATTATTACATATCATCATATTAACAGAGACATGCGGCAAGTATGTATTTTTCATTTTACCAGATAAATAAATTAACAACAACAGCAAGGTTCTTGGTTTAGCTCTCATTACAACAACAATAACAACAACAACAACAACAACAACAACAACAATACCCTGGAAGGGACACCTGGTTGAGTTCATCGACCTGCTTGTATAACGTGGGAGAAATGAAGTCAGTCAGGTACCTATCAAGATGATCAGCAGATCGCAGCTGGCACAGGGGAGAGAGGGACGAAGGGTTGGCGACCTGGTATTCAGTGTTTTGCTGGTGTACAGATCAACACTGCTTCTGTACTCTGTGTTGTGTGGTGACAAATTCACTCGGTATTGTGTGGCGACACCACCACACCCTGTGTTGTGTCCTGACCCAACCACACCTTGTGTTGTCCTGACCCAACCACGTCCTGTGTTTTAATTCTACCAGACCCTGTACTCTGTAGTGACTCCACCATACTCCGTGTTGTGTGGCAACCCCATCACACCCTGTGATGTATCTTGACCTCATATAACGGGACTTAGGTGTAGATTTTCATTAAAAAAAAAAGAAAGGAAAAGGCTCTTGTGCTCCGGAGTGCTGGATTCTGATCTGCAGATTGATTGACTGGGGCCACGAGCTCTCTATAAGACAATTGCTTAGGCTTATAATCATGTCCAAATGACATTTGATCACTATGAGTGAAATTTTGACTTGAGAAAGTTTACCCTGGTATCTCCCAGCAACACTCCCACGCAATAAAATTACAGCATCGAATACTTACCAGGATTTTATTTTCAGACTCGTCATGTCAAAAGTTTCGACGAGAGATTCATAGACCTCACAACGAACGATCCAGGAGAACCTGGAGAATCTCAAAACAGAGAACCACGATGCAAGTCCATCCTACAGCACCGTCCACGGAAAAGATGGACCCAAACACCCTCCCTGCAGCACCACCCGACAGTGTAGCCCAGCAGGGCAGCAACAGGTGCAGTGGGGATGACTGCTCGGAGACGCTGGAAATGAGGAGGGAACTAGGGCTGTTCGACTCCATTTCTGTCATCATCGGCGTGGTGTCTGGCTCAGGCATCTTCATCAGTCCTCGAGGAGTGTTGGAGTACAGTGGCAGTGTGGCCATGGCACTCCTAGTATGGGCGCTATCTGGAGTTGTCTCCCTCGTAGGCGCTATAACCTTCGCTGAACTTGGTCAGTCTGTCTATCTATCTATCTATCTATCTACCTATCTATTTATCTATCTATCTATCTTTATATCTATCTATACTATATATATATATATATATATATATATATATATAATATATATATATATATAATATATAATATATAATATATATATATATATATATATATATATATATATATATATATAAATATATATATATATATATATATATATATATAATATATATATCAGTTTCCGACGAAATAGAATCTATTGATCTATCGATAGTTAACCCGAATACATACCTTGATCCTTCCATGCTACATGATACATAACACAACAGTTAGTGATACATAACATACTAATACATGAGAGGTGTTTTGTTGCGTGGGTGTATGGCGAGTGAGTGTTGTAGCAGTACTAGGTGAAGGGGCTGTGTGGAGGGGGCAGTGTGTGTGGAGGGGCAGTGTGTGTGGAGGGGCAGTGTGTGTGGAGGGACAGTGTGTGTGGAGGGGCAGTGTGTGTGGAGGGGGCAGTGTGTGTGGAGGGGCAGTGTGTGTGGAGGGACAGTGTGTGTGGAGGGGCAGTGTGTGTGGAGGGGGCAGTGTGTGTGGAGGGGCAGTGTGTGTGGAGGGGGCAGTGTGTGTGGAGGGGCCAGTGTGTGTGGAGGGGGCAGTGTGGGTGGAGGGGGCAGTGTTGGTGGAGGGGCAGTGTGTGTGGAGGGGCCAGTGTGTGTGGAGGGGGCAGTGTGTGTGGAGGGGCCAGTGTGTGTGGAGGGGGCAGTGTGGGTGGAGGGGCAGTGTGTGTGGAGGGGCCAGTGTGTGTGGAGGGGGCAGTGTGTGTGTAGGGGCAGTGTGTGTGGAGGGGCCAGTGTGTGTGGAGGGGGCAGTGTGTGTGGAGGGGCAGTGTGAGTAAAATAGGGGGAAAAAGGTGGGAGTGAGGGAAAAAGGGGAGAATTTTGGGAGGTGGTAACAAGAGGGGGGAAAATTAATAAAAAGGGGGGGGGGAGGTGGGAAAAAAAGGGGATTTGGGGGGGAAAATTTTGGGGGAGGTTTAAAAAACAAAAGTTGGGAAAAGGGGAAAAAGGAGGGAATTTGTAAGTAATAACCCGGAAAATGGGGGGGGAGGTGGTAAAAAGTTTTTGGGGGGTAAAAAGGGGGAAGGGTTGTTGAGTGAAAAAAAAATTTTTTTTGGGGTGGGAGGGAAGGGGGGAAGAATGGGGGGTTTGGAAAAAAGGGGGAAAAAGGGGGAAGGTAAAAAGGGAGTTGGGAATAAAAAGGCGGGGGGGGGGGAAAAAACAGGTGTGGGGAGGTATGGGGCGGGAAAAAGGGGGGGGTTAGAGAATAAAAAAAGGGGGGAAATTTTTATTTTAAAAAAAAAAAATTTTTTGGGAAAATCAGGAAATTTTTTTTAAAGGGGAAAGGTTTTTTGTAAAAAAAGGGGAGGGGGGAGGGGGTGGAGGGATTTAAAAGGGGGGGAGGGGTTTTGGGGGGCGGGGTTGGGGGGGGTTTTTTAGGGGGGGGGGGGTGAGGGTAGCGGGTTGGGGAAAAAGGGTGGGATGTGTGGGGGTTTTAGGGGGATGTTGTGGGTGAGTTGAACAGAGGAGGTAGGTTACCAACCCCTTTAAGGCATTTGAGGTGGGGTTCACCGGATATTGTTGAATTTCCAAGGGGTTCCATGGGGGGGGAGAAAAAGAGTGTGAAGAGCCCAAAAATGAGAAGTGGGGGTTAAGTGAAAGGAGTTTGCCTTGGTGGAAGAAAGGAGGCTCTTGTGTGGGGGCCATTTTTAGATGGGGGGGGAAGTTAATACAGTGTTTAGGAAAAGGGGAGGGGGGGGGGGTGTTGGGGGGGCAAGGGATGGGGGGGGGTTTTGAGGGGGGTGTGGATTTGGAGGGTTTTTTGGGGGTGTGTAGGGCGTTTTGGGGGGGGGAAAGGGGCGGGTTGGGGGCCCCTTGGAGGGGGGGCCCATTGTTTTGAGGGGCCTTGTGGAGGGCCTTTGGGGGGCCCTGTGGGGGGGTGTGTGGGAGGGTGTGTTGGGGGGGGCAGTGTGTGGTGGAGGGCAGTGTGTGTGGAGGGGCCAGTGGTGTGGGAGGGGGAGTGTGTGGGAGGGGGAGGTGTGTGTGGGGGGCGGGTTTGTGTGGAGGGGCAGTGTGTGTGGAGGGGCAGTGTGTGTGGAGGGCAGTGTTTTGGGGAGGGCAGTGTGTGTGGAGGGGCAGTGTGTGTGGAGGGGCCGTGTGGTGTGGAGGGGCAGTGTTGTGGAGGGCAGTTTTGTGTGGAGGGAGTGTGTGTGGAGGGGAGTGTGTGGGGGGGCAGTTGTGTGGGGAGGGGGCAGTGTTTTGGTGGAGGGGCAGTGTGGTGGAGGGGCAGTGTGTGTGGAGGGGCCAGTGTGTGTGGAGGGGCCGTGTGTGTGGGGGGGGGGTGTGTGGGGGGGCGGGTGTGTGGAGGGCCCAGTGTGTGTGGAGGGGCGGTGTGTGGAGGGGCCAGTGTGTGGAGGGGGGAGGTGTGTGTGGGGGCCGTGTGTGTGGAGGGGCCATGTGTGTTGGAGGGGGTGTGTGGAGGGGCAGTGTGTGTGGAGTGGCAGTGTGTGAGGGCGTTAGTGTGTGGAGGCGTGTTGTGGGGAGTGTGTGGGAGGGACAGTGTGTGTGGAGGGCAGTGTGGGGGGGAGTGTGTGGAGGGGCTATGTTGTGGAGGGCAGTTGTTGGATGGGGAGCAGTGTGATGTTAGGCGTCTGATGTGTGTGAAGGGGCCAGTGTGTGTGGAGGGACAGTGTGTGTGGATGGGGCCAGTGTGATATGGATGCAGTAGTAGTGTTTAAGGGGCAGTGTGTGTGGAGGGGCAGTGTGTGTGGAGGGACTGTGTGTGGAGGGGCAGTGTGTGTGGAGGGGCAGTGTGTTAGAGGGGGCTAGTGTGTGTGAGGGGCCAGTGTGTGTGGAGGGACAGTGTGTGTGGAGGGGCAGTGTGTGTGGAGGGGCAGTGTGTGTGGAGGGCAGGTGTGTGAGGGCAGTGTGTGTGGAGGGGCAGTGTGTGTGGAGGGAGCCAGTGTGTGTGGAGGGGCAGTGTGTGTGGAGGTCAGTGTGTGTGGAGGGGCCAGTGTTGTGGAGGGGCAGTGTGTGGGAGGGGCAGTGTGTGTGGAGGGGCAGTGTGTGTGGAGGGGCCAGTGTGAGTGGAGGGGGCAGTGTGTGGGGAGGGGGCATGTGTGTGTGAGGGGCCAGTTGTGTGTGGAGGGGCAGTGTGTGTGGAGGGGCAGTGTGTGGGGCATGTGTGGGGAGTGTGTGTGGAGGGGCAGTGATGTGTGTGGAGGGGCCAGTGTGTGTGGAGGGGCAGTGTGTGTGGAGGGGCAGTGTGTGTGGAGGGGCCAGTGTGTGTGGAGGGGCAGTGTGTGTGGAGGGGCAGTGTGTGTGGAGGGGCAGTGTGTGTGGAGGGGCAGTGTGTTGGAGTGGCAGTGTGTTGGAGGGGCAGTGTGTGTGGAGGGGGCAGTGTGTGGGAGGGGCAGTGTTGTGTGTAGGGGGCAGTGTGTGTGGAGGGGCCAGTGTGTGTGGAGGGGCAGTGTGTGTGGAGGGGCAGTAGTGTGTGAGAGGGCAGTGTGTGTGAGGGGCAGTGTGTGTGGAGGGCCAGTGTGTGTGGAGGGCAGTGTGTGTGGAGGGGCCAGTGTGTGTGTGAGAGGGGCAGTGTGTGTGGAGGGGCAGTGTGTGTGGAGGGGCAGTGTGTGTGGAGGGGCCAGTGTGTGTGGAGGGGCCAGTGTTGTGAGGAGGGGCCAGTGTGTGTGGAGGGGGCAGTGTGTGCGGGGGGCAGTGTGTGTGGAGGGGCAGTGTGTGTGGTGGGGCAGTGTGTGTGGAGGGGCAGTGTGTGTGGAGGGGCAGTGTGTGTGGAGGGGCAGTGTGTGTGGAGGGGCCAGTGTGTGTGGGAGGGGCCAGTGGGTGTGGAGGGCCAGTGTGTGTGGAGGGGCAGTGTGTGTGGAGGGGCAGTGTGTGTGGAGGGGCAGTGTGTGTGGAGGGGCAGGAGTGTGTGTGGAGGGGCAGTGTGTGTGAGGGGCAGTGTGTGTGGAGGGGCAGTGTGTGTGAGGGGCCAGTGTGTGGTGGAGGGGCCAGTGTGTGTGGGGGCAGTGTGTGTGGAGGGGCAGTGTGTGAGGGAGGGGCCAGTGTGTGTGGAGGGGCAGTGTGTGTGGGGGGCCAGTGTGTGTGGAGGGGCAGTGTGTGTGGAGGGGCAGTGTGTGTGGAGGGGTGTGTGTGGGAGGGGCAGTGTGTGTGGAGGGCAGTGTGTGTGGAGGGGCAGTGTGTGTGGAGGGGCAGTGTGTGTGGAGGGCAGTGTGTGTGGGGGGCAGTGTGTGTGGAGGGGGCAGTGTGTGTGGAGGGTCAGTGTGTGTGGAGGGGCAGTGTGTGTGGAGGGGCGAGTGTGTGTGTGAGGGGCAGTTGTGTGGAGGGCAGTGTGTGTGGAGGGCAGTGTGTGGGAGGGGCAGTGTGTGTGGAGGGGCCAGTGTGTGTGGAGGGGCCAGTGTGTGTGGAGGGGCCAGTTGTGTGTGGAGGGGGCAGTGTGTGTGGAGGGGCCAGTGTGGTGGAGGGGGCAGTGTGTGGTGGAGGGCAGTGTGTGTTGGAGGGCACGTGTGTGTGGAGGGGCAGTGTGGTGGAGGGGGCAGTGTGTGTGGAGGGGCAGTGTGTGTGGAGGGGCAGTGTGTGTGGAGGGGGCAGTGTGTGTGGAGGGGCAGTGTGTGTGGAGGGGGCAGTGTGTGTGGAGGGGGCAGTGTGTGTGAGGAGGGCCAGTGTGGTGTGGAGGGGCAGTGTGTGTGGAGGGCAGTGTGTGTGGAGGGTAGTGTGTGTGGAGGGCCAGTGTGTGTGGAGGGGGCAGTGTGTGTGGAGGGGCCAGTGTGTGTGGAGGGGCAGTGTGTGTGGAGGGGCAGTGTGTGTGGAGGGGCCAGTGTGTGTGGAGGGGCCAGTGTGTGTGGAGTGGGCAGTGTGTGGGAGGGGCAGTGTGTGTGGAGGGGCAGTGTGTGTGGAGGGGCAGTGTGTGTGAGGGGCAGTGTGTGTGGA